TTTTTTTATTTCATTATGTTCCCGGCATATCGTCCGTTGAGAACGTCGGAATCAAACCTTGCCAGGGTGTTTTTCATGACCTGTCTATCATAAGCCGTCGAGTACCACCATTGTGGCTCTTGACAAGTTAGGTTACCAAGTCCACTGTCATGTCGGTGCCAAGGTAGAGTTAAGCATGGAGCAAGCATCTAAAGGCATTGGTTACAAAAAAATCGGAGTGTCTAACAAGTTCCTATGGTCTAGTGGTGAGGATACTTCGTTGTGGAATTAGTAAGCACCGAAGAGGCCCGTGTTCGATTCACGGTGGGGACAATTATTTTTGCATTCCAAACAACGGGACCCACCTCGAACACGTGTGGCCAAAAACACATGGTTGCATGTGCCTTTGATCATTTGCGCCTGACCACAAACACGCCTACAACCTCTGCTCGCACCGCCTTCGGCAATGCTTGCGTCCCCCCGACCGACAGGTGCCACAGATCGATGCAACGCGGCCGGTACCCAGTTCAGTACAGAACATGTAACGAAAAGCTGAGAGGCATTTACAGCTTAGATAAGAACGACTGCAAAGTATCATTGCTGGCCAGAGAAACTATCGAGGCTGTTGGTATTTAGGGGCGTGGGGGACTGAGCCACCTTGAACTATGTCTTTCCAGTGATTTATTGGCTGTGCTCGCCTCAAACTAAGTTCTCTTGTCATGCGTGGAACTACAAGGTATCAGACAATGGCTGGTCACTTGGCTCGACAATCTCAGAGTCCGGGTCCAGTGCCTCGCCGTCGTACCAGATGGTTTTCCAATCCGAAAGTCTCAACCCAATCGCAGCCTCCAGCAACCGTTTTGCGTCAAGGTCTGCTTGAACCGTGCTCCGTGGCGGGAGATATGTGCGAACACGTTTGTCCCTCCTTCTATAAAGAACCAATGCATAAAGCTTCTCTCGCGGCTCCTATGTAAAGCTTATGAGAAACAGAGTGGCGGCCACAGGAAAAAGTCAAATACTGACTGCTTTCAGAGCCGGGATGATGTCAATGCCAAAGCGCCTACGTATGCCACCCTCATTCATCTTTTCTTCCATCATAGCCTCTGCTCTGGCAACGCCCCAACTCTCCCATGTGATGTTCTGTGCGGTCACCCATGCTTTCCACTCTGTTGGAGACTAGACGCGCCACACGAGTCAATGCAAAACACTTCGAAGGAAACGAACATGGTTCTCACAATGTAAAAGCCACCGTAGGAAGGCATAGTGTAGGGAGGGGAGAGGGAACTACTGAGAGTGGCACGTTGAAATCGGGTCCTGGAACACGGTTTATATAAGCAAATACTGGCAACTAGTGACCCTTGTTTGGTCCAACCACGAAGGCCAAAAATTAAGCGCTGGAAACAAACTCGCTGATCCACGGCCATACAAGGCAAGCGGTGTCATCCCGTACAGGTTCAGCACGCTGCTGCTCCCTCTTCGGCCTCACAAGGTATTGTCCGACCAGTGATAACACCCAAGCAGTGTGACGCTCCTGATCCCCATCCTGGCTTTGTGGCCTCCCCATCTGGCACTTAGTTTTTGGGTTGGACGCCCATGATGAATGCATCAGCCCAGCACATGGGTTTGGCATGCTTTCTACTGTGGCTGCATGCTTTCTCGGACCCTTAACCTTGTCTGACACATTGCTCCGGTGTCGACAGCCAGTCACGGGTTGGATCAAACATGCCCATCTCCGCCAAAAGCTAGCTCATAGAGAGAAGAATACCTAAATGAGGTAGGATTTTCATAAATACACTACATCATGTCAATCCAGTCTGTCTCAGGGCAGTGTCTAGGCCCCTCGGTCATAGTCATCCCCGGTCATAGCATAGATTGCCAAGCACACACGTTGCAGAGTGGTGTGATCGCATGAGTGGGTAAGCTCAAAATGAATTTAGTATTTTGGAGACTGGGCTGCTGCGCTGTGTGCACCATGACCACACCAGGAAAGCCTGCACGCAAGGCTACATGCCACTATGGTGGCGCCGCGTAGCACCCCTAGCTCTGAGTCGAAAGAGAGGTGAAAGTAATTGAACGTGCATAGATGAACAAAAACAACAAGGTAGGCACATAAGGGGAATGAGACTCCTAAACAGGGAAAAAGGGACCCAAGTTAAGACATGTAAATCCCCAGGGTATGGTGGTTGCACCTTATCGTCACCAATCTGCATTGAGCCCCAGTGACTCCGCTATCCAATATCACGGCAGCACAGAGAAGTTGCGAAGTACCCCGATTGTTCTGAACAGATATAAGCCCTGGGATCTGCTGTAATTTCAGCCAGCATTTTCGCCTTCTGCCTCTGCTCTTATTCCACTACACAAGGCGCAAACCTTAAGCTCTTCTAGTAAGTTCGGCATCATCAAGTGTTGTCTAGCACTTGTGCGAGTCTCTGTTTGTGACACGCTCTTTACATATAGCCGTTGTTGCTAGGATGGAGGACATGCCATTGCAAGAGTGGCCTGTTGGCCTTGCCCACGTTCAAGAGAAATTCACTCGTCTATACCAGCGTAACCCTCGTTACGAGATGTCCTGGTTTGGCGGGTTGATTTCCATGTTCAGTTTCATCTTTCCTCCAGCAGCACCACCCCACTTCGAAACACATGCTCAGTTCATTCTCCGTCAACCAGTACCCGGACTAGGACTGCCTCCTGCCCATGCTCCAGGGCCGGACCTGGTAGATCCTGACCCTGACCCCTCTGACGATGAGGGCCCACCAGAAGCCGACACGTCAATTGTCTCTCATGGCTACCGTGTGCAAGCCAGAGGCCTGGGGCGAGAAGTTATTCGAATTCCAGACTTTGTTATTGACCAGGACGTCCAAGCTGGCCGAGGTTTTATACTTTTGATCGAAGTTAAGGCGTCATTCGCCCTTAAACCGCAAGATTTCATGCGATTTATTCGCTATATAGACCGTCTACGAGCGATCGCTGGGGCTGGTGGACTTGTACAAGATATTACAGTGATGTTGATTGCGGGAGGGCGTGTGTATGCTTGGGATTTTGCACACCTTCCTCATGAACTTCGTCAGGAGGATCTGTTGCAGATGGAATACACCCGACTTGATAGTGTAAATTTTTTGAATCAGCTTATACAGATACGGAACGGTTTCCCACAATAATGTACCCTTTCCCCTGTTTGTATACTTGAATTGTTTTTGCTCTACTGCCAAGAATGCCTTTGAGTGGTCGCAGCCAAACCTGAGGCCCAAACCTGAGGCCCAAACCTGAGGCCACTGGCAAATGCCCATGCGACAAATGAAGAAACTTTATGGCAATCATTCCAAGAGTATGTTTACAGAGAGGGAATAGCAAAACAGAGGTTCAGCAGCCGCAAGAAACGCTATGCACCTCAATGGTCCGGGCGAGATTTGAAATACCTTGAGAGCCAACCCTGGACGTCTTTACGTATCTTTATGTGTCTTGAAAGAGGATATGGCCAACTAAGCTCTCAAGATGCGTATAAAATGATTAAGGATGGAACATATTTTGGAATCTGGGCCGATCTTGGGGCAGTAGGCATGCAGATAGTATATATGTCACACGGTATATACAGAAACAAGACGAAAAAATAATGTACAGGCTGCGACATCATCAGTGCTTGGGAGCACTCACCGTCCCAGCGCCCAAAGAGGGCGGCGGAACGAGTGTGGGCAATTCGAGCGCGGGCAAGGATTAGGGCGGGCGAGTGCAGGCATGGGCGAGTGAGCACGGGCGAGGGCTTGAGAGCGCGACATGGCGGTGTGCGTGAGCCGAGAGGGCGTATGGGCGAGGGCGAGCAAGACGGCATGCGCGCCCGTGTCAAGCGCGCCCAGAAGGACAGGCGAGCCAAGGTGCGAGAAAGCGGGCGAGCGAGCGGGAGGCCAGACGTGGGTGGGGGCGAGGGGCGGGGTGTGTACCAGCGAGAACGGGTCCGAGCACGACCACGCCTGGCGCGGCAGAGCAGATGTGAGCGAGCAAGCGCGACAGCACAGATGGGGGCGAGAGCTGGTCAAGCCGAGGCCAAAAACGGGCAAGGGCGAGGGAGAGAGAGCGCGACACGGCGGCGGACGGCGTGCACGCGTCAGGTGGAGGCCGGGCGAGCAAACAGGGAGGCCGGGCGAGAGAGCACGGGCGTGTGGGCAAACAAAAGCGAGCGCAGGCGCGAGTACGGGCGCGGACGTGTACAGCGAGGACCAAAAGCGTGGATGAGAGGAATAGTGAGTGGCGGGATTGAGGCGTTAGACGGGGACGGCTTACCTGGTACATGGCCGCCGCTTGGAGGGCGGGGCATGGGCGGGACGGGAGCGGCGAGGTTGGGGCCAAGAGGCGAGCGGGAGGGGGCAGGGACGAACATGGGGGCGCAAATAGGCAGGCGCAGGTGTGGGCACGGCCACAGACGGCGCCGAGTGTAAAGTGCAAACGGGTGCAGCAGGCACGCGCAACCGCGCGCACGCCGGTCGGTGTGGGAGCAGGCGAAAGGTGAGGCAGAACTGGCGTCGGCGCGAAAGAGCGTGGCGCGAGTGGGGGTAAGCAGGAGAACGAGCGCCGGTGGGCGTGGGAGAGCGAGGGAGGGCGCGGGCATGGGACCGGGGCAGCGACATGCGTGAGCGAGCAAGGGGTCAGCAGCAGGTAACAGTGATGGGCGGGGGCTTACCGGCAACGAGAGAGGCAGGATCGCCGTCGTGGCGCCTAAATCGACCTAAATCCTGAAATTTCCATGAATCTGGGATGGATTTCCGCCGATTCAGTTCCTGCAGTGGTGTCCAGGCGAGGCGGCACGCGTGTGGGTCAGGGTATGGACAACGGTGGCCAAGCGGCACGCCCGCGTGAGTTTGGGAGCACGAGCGCACCGGGGTTGCGGCTGGCTGAGCGCGTGGGAGGGTGGGGGTGGGCAAGCACCGGCGTGTCCGTGTCTGGGCAGGACGACATGCGCGTGCTAGAGAGCGCACGAGTGCATGAGCGACGGGCCGTTCGAGGGCGTGGGCGAGCGAGCAAGGATAGGGGTGAGAAGGTGAGGGCGGGCGCGTGTGCCCTGTGTGGGCGTAGATGTACCGGGGAGCGCGCCGCGCCACGGGCAGCGGCGGAGAAAGGCGCAACACGGTCGCGGTGTGCACGGGCATGGGTGCGGCGTGAGGGCGGGCGGGACGGAGCGCATGCACGGAGAGAGCGTGTGCAGGAGTGTGAGGGAGCGCAAGAGGCGGGGTGGGGGGGGGCGAGCTGGGAGTGGGTTAGCACGCGGGCCGAGAGCGCCGGCAAGCGAGCGCCGGGGCGTGTACCAGCGAGGACGGTGAGAGCGAGCGCGCCGAGCATGGGGG